TTGAATGGAGGGACAATGGGATTTATTGCAGAAGGAACACAATGAGAAAGAATGAGAGAAAACATTTGGCAAAAACAAACAAACAACCCAATTTAAACCAGTGAAAAACCAGTCTTGCAAGGCAGGCTGACATTCCAAGGTTTCTCAAGTCTCAGTACAGAAGCTCCCGTCTAATCAACTTAGTGGCTTTCTGACCTTAGGATATGCAAGGTGACACATGGCTCTTCACTTTTCACTCTCTGAGCATCATCCAGCAGGTTTCAGAAGATGTGATTGTTATTAAACAGGCTTTGTGCTAGATCGTGGAGGCCAGCTGCAGGTGTTCAGAGCAGTCACGTGAGCTGGGTTGTGTTTTGCTGAACAGCAGTTAAAGACAGTTTTTTAAAAAGTGTGTATGTGTGAGAGAGATGTAGAGGCTAGAAAGTGGCATTAGGTGTCTTCTATTACACTGAAGTTTATTTTACTTTTTTCCCCCCCAACATCCAAAGCTTTCTTTCAGTAGCAGTAGGATCCAGGGTTAGTTCACAGCTGTCCCTTTGGCCTCTGGCACATTTGAATTTCCGGCCCTTAAAGCAGACATAGAATTTTGGTGTGAGTTGTGTGGGGTTCCTGGGGCTGCTGGTGTACTTTTTAAGAACTCTTTTATTTACATTTCTTATATTTCTTTCTCCCTTCTCTACCCCAATTCCTTCCATCACCCCAACACCACATAGGAGAGAGAAAGGGTTAATGGGAGAGGGGGAGCAGTTCTTTTAGCTGCTTCCTGCTGGTTAGGGTCCTCGGGTTCCTTGGAGCCAGTCCAGTCCTCTTTTCAGAAGATATCAGCTTCTTGTCTCACTGCATCAACGGCAACAGGAGCAGAAGCCTTGTTTCTCAGAGCTCTGCCACACTCTCTGGGCTCTGGCAGTTATTCTCTCTCCAGAGTCATCAGATTTAAACTATCTGCAGCTGGCAAAGAGCTCCTCTCAGAGCCCGCACGAGGCAAACAGTCTGCTGCTGTGGACCATCTGAATCAGCTCCACATCCCCCACCTGGGACCAGAACAAAAACATGTTTCTATCCACAACATGGGGCCTTGGCCAAAATGCCGGTACACCTCTCAGCCCTTCTGAGGACCAGACAGGAGCCCAGTGCCATGGTCTGTGGGAGACTCCAGGGCAGGCAGGTCAAAGGTGAGGGTCTTACCCTCAGCCTTGAGGTTGTGACTAGAGGGATGGCTTCTCACCCATAGCGTACACAAGTTCAGTTTGGGCACATCCAGAATCTGCATGATATCTGTGACACGCACACAACCCCAGCTGTTTTGTTCTCTCAGCCAGGAAGTTTCGTCTCATGATCTTTTCAGTGCGGTCTGATTGAAGGTGGCTAGCAGCTGCAGGTGGATATCCTGGCTCTGGGGCTCCTTGCCCTGACCCTTTCTGTCCTTGTAGTGAATGTCAACACCAAGATGGTGCCTCCTGGTTGGCCAGTTCCATAAAGTTTATCATATTTTTAAATGTGTGTAGGTTCTGTGGAGACTAGAGAAGGGTGTTGAATCCCTTGGATCTAGAATTACAAACAATTGTGAGCTGCCCCAATGTGGGTTCTGGGAAACAAACTCAGGTCCTTTGGAGGAGCAGTAAGCACTCTTAACTGCTGAGCCACAAATCCAACCCTCTACTCCCTCCCCCTCCTTCACTCCTCCACCCCTCCACACCTCCACTCCTCTACCCCTCCACTTATACTTTGAGTCAAGGTTTCTCTCTGAATGTGGCCATGAGAATGAGTGAGCCCCAGGCCCCGCCTGCCTCTGCCTCCCAGCACTGTGGTTATAGCCACTTGCCAACACAGTCTTCCATTCACTTGGGTGTCCGGGATCCAAACCTAGCTCCTTCTGCTTTCCCAGCAAGCACTCCCGCCGACCCCCCTCCCTCAGCCCCTAAGTGTATTCCTGACTTGCAGTATTTTCAATTGACTGTCTTTATCGGGACGAGTTAAGGAACCAATGCAGTTAGCCCTGACAGATAGAGTCAGACTCCATGCAAATAGTCCCTCCACCCCACACCTCCTCCCCACACCTCCTCCCCACCTGTCTTACTTCCTAGATTCCCCATTGTAGTTGAGACTCTTTTTCAAGCCTCACCTTAAGCTGGTTATAACACCTCTTTCCTTCTTTTGTTGATTAATGAGAAAAGGCAATCGTCTGCTCTTGCTGATGACATGAATGGGAACCACAGTTTTATCTTTTATTAGCAGCCCTCACCTCAGTGGGGATAAAATATGTTATTTCTGGAGCCAAATAGGTGTTATCATGGGCTGAGAATAAATTCAGGTCACCCCAAATCCCCTGTTCTCAGTGTGGCAGCAGCTTCATGGGGCTTTTGTAGTAACAGAACAAAGGAAGTCATAGATCAAGACGCTTTTCAAGCATTGGGAACGCCAGGCAGGCAGTTCCAGCACAGTAGGGACGCTCTGCTGTAGGCCCATGCTACATTCTTAGTTATGGGGCTGGTGGAACCTAGGGTTCTGCTTATACACCCTGAAAGATTTACCTAACAGTCACAGGAGGACAGTGGCTACTCCAGGGACCAACAGATCTCAGATCATTTGTGCTTGGACCCCGGATCTGCCACATTCCAACCTCCCAATAATCAAGTTCTAATCAGTTAATCGGTTTATGAAATGTAGCTCCTTTTCAGGAACGGCCATCCATCCATCCATCACCTTAGAATCAGCTACTGTTACAGACACAGAAGGATGTGCTTCAGTCAAGCAGCCTTTCTCCTGGGAGAGCCTTGCAGGAGGCGGCCCGGGTTGATTCTGTGTCGTTCTGTGGGAAATCCAGGAGGCTGCTCCTGCCCTGCTGTTCTGTGCCCTTTCGCGGGCTCGGGCTCAGCACTTCCAGTCCTCACACTCACCCGGCGGCCAGTGGGAAGCAGGGGAAGAGAAGCGGAGGGCCCACCAGAGCAGCAAACTCTGGCTTCGCATACCAGCCCTCACTCCTTGCGTTTTCTTCTCCTGGACTTTGGAGCATTATTTGGGGCTGAGAGGGAGGAGACAAGAAAGAGTTAGACCATGTTATAAAATGTTGTTCTCTGGGCACAACTGTAGCCATCTAAGTTGCTCCTTCACTCTGAGACCTTCAGAAGGCCGGCCTGTTATCACACCCTTGTAGAAGGAGTGGGGAGTGGGGGAGGGGATCAGTCCCTAGCCTGAGAGTCCAACCAGTTCTACTTCTCTGCTTGTAACTCTGTCTTGCACACACAGGTCTCAGGAGGGGCTAGCGTATAGAGGCGGGAGGTTTGTGGGGGCGGGGAGGGACACGACGCCCATCAATGCAGCTTTCAAGAGAGCTGTTCTCTTTCCTCAAGGCTTTACGTTAGATTTGAACAGTGGCCCAAGCTGGATGACCTTCTCACTATCCCAGCCCCACACAGTGCTCCCCTCCTGGCTCTGGGTCAGTGCGAAGAGGTGTCCTGCCAACTCTGTCCCCTAGGTCACTGTCCCCTGCTCCCAGTGCCTCTTCCCTGCCTGACTGGCTGCCCAGCAGTATAACCAGGGCCCATATTCAACCACCTGAGTCACTGGCCCCACTCCTAGTGCTTATGGACGCTTGGGGCCTCGTAAAGCTCAAAGCCTGCAAATGGTAATAAAGAGGCTTGGGCAAGCTGCAGTGGGGCCAGCTGCAGGCTGCAGAGGGGCGTTGGGCTCAGAGAGGAGAAGCCATCTCCTCATCTCCTGGCACTCCTCCTTGCTCAGAACATGGACCATCAAGTTTACTGTGAATCTCCTCTGTGCCTAGGTCCTGTGGAGGTGCCCTCGGCAGATGCAGCTTCCTGGGCCCTGCACACTTGATGGGGAGTTTTTCCTGCAGAGCACAGACTTGGGGAAAAAACGGGTCCAGGAGAAACGATCTATACCCTTTGTAGTGGTTTCTACGTTGTACAGGACAGATGCAAACCGTCACTCCGGGAGAGCATCACTGCCCTCCATCCCACACCTCCTCCCCACCTGTCTTACTTCCTAGATTCCCCATTGTAGCTGAGGCTCTCTCAAGCCCCACCTTATGCTGGTTATAACACCTCTTTCCTTCTTTTGTTGATTAATGAAAAAAGACAGTCTCAGCCCCTGTTGATCTATGGATGGGATCCATATAGATTGATATGGCCCCAAATCTAGACAAATAACAACAGGCAACTACATAATCCTGAGAGTGGGAGAAATAGTCCAGCTCTGAAAACATATAAACACAAATAACATTATAAGGACTGAGAAGGTTGTGTTTATATATTTAGGAATACACACACGCACACATAATAACAATTAAATAAAAATCATGAATTTGGAGTACACGGGAAGGGTTGGAGGTAGGAAAGGGAGGGGGAAATAATGTAATTATATTTTAATAAAATTAAAAAAAGCTGAGTATAGTGGCAGGTGCCAGTAATCCCAGCGTTTGGAGATGGTAGGTGGAGTCAGGCGGATCCAGAGAAACTAGGCCAACAGTCTGTGTGGTCAGGTTCCAGAGCTCACTGCGCCATGTACTGATCTCTGGCAGATAGCTCCATCTGCATTTCAATTTTCTGAAAAGAGACGTATGCGGCTAATTCTAAATCACACTTTCTGGGGTTCTCCTGGCTCTGGACCCACGCAGCCCCGCCTTTCTCCAGATCCCGCCCACCAGGCCCCGCCCCTTCCCTCCGGTTATTTAACTCCGGTTCTGCGCCTGGCCTTCGGAGCGTGGTGAGGTTCTCGCCGGAACTTGGTCCGCGCCAAACGCGGCGTGACGGACTCTCCATTGGCTGAGAGCGGTGGCAAGGGCAGGTCCAGGCCTGCGATTGGCTGTTGGAGCAGGGTGTCTCACGGCCCTACCGGCCGGCGGGCGCTGACGGTCATGGATAGCCCGTCGGTGCTGACTCGGGGCGCCGCACGGCAGCGGGGCTCCGCTGCCCTGGAGAAGCGGGCGCAGGACCAGCCGGAGCGGAGGCCGGGGCGGCGGAGGCCGGGGCGGAGGTGCGCGTGGCTGGGCTGGGCTGGGGTGTGACACCGTCCACCGCCTGCGGGTGGGTTTCCTTCCCACCCGCTTCCTCCGCGTCCCTCCATCTTTCCATCCCCAGCTGCAAGGGCCACTGGAGGAAGCTAGCAACTCCTTGTCCGTGGCCCACGACGGACCCTGCCCCAGCCCAAAAGGACCCGTCCTGGAAGGTGGGCACCATGGCTACCATGGCTACCATGGCTTCCTTTGGCCGTATAAATCAGGCAATCCCAAACATTTCTGTTAGGGTGATATTTGAACTGAGTCTTAGGGGTGAGAAGGACTGCGCCAGGTGATATCAACCTGGGAGGATCAGAATGGGCAAAGGCAGGAGTGGACAGAAATAACCCCTCTGGTCCAGAGATTTGCTCCCTTTGGGTTGTAACCCCCTGGACAGTAGGATGCTGGGAAAGGAAGAGAGCAGACTTAGTGTGTCCCGCTTTATTTTTAAACCCACAGCACTGAGACAAATGGCCCATTCATACTATAGGGTGGTTGCTGGCTGACGGGAAAGGTATTTCTGGGTAGGAGGAATCCCAAAATAGGGCCCTTTCCTTCCTACTGGAGGACTGTTCAAGTGACAAAGGTGGACAGGGTCGACAGGACTGCTCTGAGTTCCTTTGGGTGCAGTTGAAGGGTAAAGAAATCAGCCATGGAGGGGCGTGTGCAAGAGAAGAGTTTGGGAATGAAATTTGAAAGGGGGTGTTTTCCATGGCCTGAAGACACAGGCCTCTAATTTCCAGCTTCTTGAGAGGGTGAGGCAGGAGGATCACAAGTTTGAGGCCAGCCTGTTTTAGTGAGGTCATGTCTCAAAAAATAAAATTAAAAAAAAAAAATAAAGGAAAGTGTTGGGATAGTTCCATGGCAGAGCGCTTGCCCAGGGTGTGGGAAATCCCGGGTTTGAGCCCCAGCACCACAAGAAAAAGATGACGCCTCCATTTTAACCTGCTCCTCGGTCTAATTGCGGAGGCCCTGGGTGGGTGTGATCGATGGCTGACCCCAGGGAGGGAGCTCAAGCCATAGCTGCTGGCCTCAGGCTCCTGGGGAAGGGGTGTTAGAGCAGGCCAGCTGGGATGCTTGTGATCGCTGAATGGCTACTCTAGTGTCTTCTCTGAAAATGAATAAGTGTTAACAAATGAGTGCTTCCTGGTTTTGTTATACACAGATTGTTGCAAGTTCATGAAGCCAAATTAGTTTTTCCTTGTGCTCAATTGCTGAGCACCCAGGCCCAATGAGCGTTCCATGCCCCTGTGAATGGGTAGGAGATCAAGCCCGGCCCTGGCCACTCTGGGTCTTCAGTTTTGTTAGTGTTTGAAGATCATATTGCTTGACAGAAGGCCCGAGGAAGTATTGGGGTTTTCAGTGTGTGATTTGTCTTTTGGGCGGGGAAGGTGTGGGCTGACGCTGGCATCTGTTCAAGCAGGCCAACCCCAGCTCTCCTGTATCCGATGCCACTCCAATGACAAGCGTGCCTCTGTGTATATTTTATAAGCCATGTCCAGCAATATCTAGCCATTGACTTCTAACTTTTACTTACCCTTTTGCGGGGCTGAGAATGTAGCTCAGTGGACAGTGCTCTCCTAACCTGCCCAAAGCTCTAGTTCAATCGCCAGTATAAATGGGGTGTAGTGGAGCACTCCTCAATCCCAGCACTTAGGAGGCTGGACAAAGGCCAGAAGTTCACTGTCATCCTTGACTACATAGTCAGTTCCCGACAGGCCTGGGCTACATAAAACCCTATCAAAAGAACAAAAACAAACCAGTCTTTTAAAGCCCACTCTTTGCCTAGGACCAACGAGGACCAGGAAGAGGAAGCAGCCTTTAGAGATGTGGTCAGTTTCGCTCCAGATCCTTTACCAGGTGAGGTGACCCAGGTTCCCACTAACGTCCCTTCCTGGCCATTGGCAGTCCCCACGCGGCTCTCTGTCGGGGTTGAAGTGTCTGCCCGAGTCCCCCGATTTCCCTCATTCCTTATGGTCTCCCTTCGTGGACCAGCTAGATATTATGACAAGGATACCACCAGACCCATCAGCTTTTACCTATCGTCACTGGAGGAGCTGCTGGCATGGACCCCCCTCATGGAGGATGGCTTCAATGTAGCCATGGAGCCCCTAGAACGCCGCCAGCCCCCCCTGAGCAGCCCCAGGCCCCGGACCCTGCTGTGCCACGACATGATGGGCGGGTACCTGGAGGACAGGTGAGGTTCCTGGCATGGCACTGGCCTTGTTACTGACCGTCCTAGAGGGCAGCAGAGCAGTCATAGAGGCCTGGATGGAGTTAGGAAAGTGGTTCTAGATGGGCCTCTGATACCTCAGGGAGAGGGACTCAGTCCTAAGCTTCATGTGGCAGAAGCAAGGTGGATGAAGTTGGGTGAGCTTGTGTCAGCTGGGTGAGAATCGCCTTCCACATCTCTAGGCATCCTGACCTAGCAGCCCCACCCTCATCCAATTTGTCTATTGTGCTTCCCCTAAGCTCTGTCCTGGTTCAGGTCTCTTGCCCCTGGCTTCCTGTGCTCCATCCCCCGTCACTCTCGCAGCTCTGCAGAGACTGGCTAGAGTGACATTTTAAACACCTATAGAATGCTCTTGGTCAGGGTGAGTGATGGGAAGCTGAGTCAGGGCCAGCTGCCCAGCCTGGGGTGTGGCCAACCTGCAGACCCAGGGAGCCTGCCCTGAGGCCAGTGCTGACCCTGTGCACAGAGCGGAAGCCAGAGACAGGGCCTGCACTCAGCCTTTCCGCTTCCTTCTTCAGCTGCTCACAGAGGCCAAAATGCTGTCTGTGCAGATCTGTGGCCTATGCTACTCTGGTTGGTCTGTGAGCTACGCCCCCACTCCCCAAACACTCTAGGATCTATTCTTGAGATAGGGTTTTAAATCTGTGTGGTTTAGCCTGGTATGTAATTCATCATGTATCCCAGCTGGCTTCCAACTCCAATCCCCTGCCTCAGATGCCATCATGCCCAGCACCCTCCCAACTGTTCTCTGTGTGTCTGTGAGTGTGAGTGTGTGGAGGCCCGAGGGCAACCTCTGCTCTTCCTCAGCTGCTGCCCACCTTGCTTTTGACACACGTCTCCTCAGCAGCCTGGAGCTCACCAAGAAGGCAGGGTGGTGTGCCAGTGACTCCCCCTTCCCACCCTGAGATTACAGGCTCGCTCCGCCATGCCTGGGTTTTGAGCTTTAGTGCAAGGCAAGCACTGAACTGACTCTCACCCCAGCTCTGTTCCTAGCACTCCTCCCCGCAGGGCCCCACACAGCAGGCTTGGGTCAGAGCCACGCTGCTGACCGGTGGTGATCGCTGTGCCCCGATCCTGTCTCCTGGGACCTGACTGTCTGGTGTCTTCACAGGTTCATTCAGGGCTCGGACGTGCAGAACCCCTACTCCTTCTACCACTGGCAGTACATCGACATCTTTGTGTACTTCAGCCATCACACAGTCACCATCCCGCCCGTGTGCTGGACCAACGCTGCACATAGGCATGGGGTCTGCGTGCTGGGTAAGAGCCGGGTGCTCCCTGTGCTGTTGGGTAACCCTATCACCTAGCAGTCGTGGCATCCAGGGGTTGGGATGGGTGTCTGCGCATTTTCCCAGACAGGGACAGATGGTGCCTCCTTTTAGCACGTGGGCCATTGGTCAGGGTGTGCAAAGCTCTGACTTTCCCATGGCAGGCATGGGAGGTGGAGGAAGCGGGAGGCTTTGGGTTTGGTGGCCCTCAGGTGGCCGGGGTTGATGGGGACCTCAGTCAGTGGTGAGCAAGGCAGGAAACAGACCTGGAAGTGGGCTTCATTGAATAGCTCAGTTAATTGGGAGAACAAAGGCTATTGAAACCTTTGGGGAGTGGTTAGGCTTTTGGGGTGAGTGTACACCATTGGCCAGGCCTAAGGTGCTGGAACACCTTATTTGCATGAAGAGGAATTCCAGGTGCTTGCTGGGCATGACCTTATGAGGAGAAGGGGAAGTTTAACATGGCTGCTGTTATGTGTCCTCCTCTGGTGTGGGCAAAGGGGGGGTACAGGACATGCAGACTGGGGCAGAGGGGAGGGTGGTCCCCTCTCCTGCCACTCTCCGAGAGCTTTCCAGGGGTTGAACTTGTGTTCTCGACCGGCTTCTCCCGGTTCCACGGTACCCCAGCCCTACAGGTCAGGGTGGCGGTGAGGAGTCTGAGAGCAGCTGTAGACGACAGGTAGGCAGAGGGCTGCGCTGTGTTCCAGGACACAGGAAAGCACTACAAGGCCGTAGTTTGTCAAACAGGCGATCACACTGGTGTCTCTCCAGCTCTGTTCTGTGCCCACTGTGCGCACACACCACTGACAGGGTGTCTCCATGCTCCTATATAGGCCTGTTGTCTAGAAAGCAAACTTGGCCCTGCGTCAGAAGGCAGCCATCTGAGCAGCTGTTTCTGTCTCTTGCCTCACAGGGACCTTTATCACAGAGTGGCAGGAGGGAGGCAAACTCTGTGAAGCCTTCCTGGCCGGGGAGGAGAGCTCCTACCAGGCAGTGGCCGATCGGCTGGTCCAGATGGCTCAGTTTTTTCGTTTTGATGGCTGGCTCATCAACATCGAGAACTCCTTGAGTGTGAGCTGCAGCAGTGCCCTGCGTCTGCCCCTCCTCACCCCTTGCTTTGAAACCCCCTTTCGCTTTCTTCCCTGACCTAACTTCCTGCCTTTACTCCCAACCCCTTTGCTTGACCCCTCTTGCCCTAGACCAGGACCCAGCCCATAGCCTGTGTGCTCTCTGACTCAGGGAGAGGAGAGCCTGCCTATTTCATGACTTTGCCTGTGCTCTCCTCGCCGCCTCCCTCAGTGTGGCCACACCCTCTCTCCTTATTCCTGCTTTGGGCTTATGTGGTGGTTGTGTGGCCACTGACCCCTTTCGCTGCCTTTTATCTTTTCCTGAGTTCTGGACTATGCTCTTTTCTGTCCAGCAAGGCTGGCTGGGTCCTCCCTGGTGGCTGTGGGACACGGGGCATTGTTGGTGGCCAGGCTTTTGTGGACCTCCTTCTCTTCTGTACTGGGTCATTTCTCATGCATGACAAACATTCCCAGCCTCGAAGAGGTTTAATCTCCCTTCCTCTCTTGCAGCCAGCTGCTGTGAGGAACACACCTTTATTTCTCCAGTACCTGACCACACAGCTCCATCAGCAGGTCCCCGGAGGTCTGGTGCTGTGGTATGACAGCGTGGTGCAGAGTGGGCAGCTCAAGTGGCAGGATGAACTCAATGATCAGAACAGGTGAGCACTAAGGGTGGCCGTGGAGGAAGATGGGCTGCCCAGGTTACAGGGCCATCCTGTGTGGGCAGCTCTGGGTAGGTGTGATCAGTGCCCACAGGGCTGAACTCGGCAGCCATGAGCGATGTGTAGCCATGACCGTCAGGGAGGCTGGTGGCAGGTGGGTACCAGCTGGGCCTGGCCTCATGCTTGTTTGGCACCCCCAGGGTCTTCTTCGACTCCTGTGATGGCTTCTTTACCAACTATAATTGGCGGGAGGCCCACCTGCAGCGGATGGTGGCGCAGGCTGGGGCACGCCTGGCGGACGTGTATGTGGGCGTGGATGTGTTTGCCCGGAGCAATGTGGTCGGAGGCCGTTTTGATACTGACAAGGTAGGTGGTGGCCTCTGCATCAGGGTTGCTGTCTGCGTATCCTTTGTGGCCTCTTCCTTGGGGAACCTTCTGTTCCCATTAGTACCTCAGGGGGAACCGAGGCACCCTGGAACTCCCGGGATCCCTCCCTTGCCCCTTCCAGCTGTTTCTCCCATCACATGGTCACATGCTTTCGTATTTCATGAGTGTTAACAGGCCGAAGGGGTCCTGTCCCACTCTTGTATCAGCCCCCACAGGCACTGACTTCCTGGGCCACATGCTTTGGAGCATGCCAAGCCTCTCATGCCACTCAGCACACAGAGGGAGTGCACAGGGGCTGTCGTGGTCGGAGGGGAAGCACTAGTGTGTGGGCCCCCTAGCCAGTGAGATTTTCCGGCAAGTGGTGTCGGTGGGGAGGAAAGGTGACAGCAGGCTCATTTCCTGTCAGTCCTGCCTCTCCCCTAGGTGAGAGTCCTGGTTTTACTTCTGGTGTGATAAACGTTCCTGATGATCTGCCACGGTCAGTTTACAGATCGTCAGTGAAGCCAGCTACCGTGTTGAACAGTCACTATCAGAGGGAAATGAAGGAAATGCTTGCTTATCCTTGGCTAGGTTTTTCCCCTCCCCCAACCCTCTTTGTTTCTGAGACAGGGTTTTTCTCTGTCGCCTAGCTATCCTGAAACTTGCTGTGTAGATCAGGCTGGCCTTGATCTCCCTGTCGCTGCCTCCTGGGATTAAAGGTCAGCAGGCCCAGCTTTTTCCTCTTTTACGCCGTTCAGGACCTCCCTGCCTAGGGAATGGTGGTGCCTACGGTGGGCTGGGTTTTCCCTCCATCAACTAACAGGACAGTACCGACCCCAGACATGTTCACACTAACCCACTGTAGATGCCCCTCATCGAGAGTGTCTTAAGTGGGTTGGGTTGACAGTTAAGACTAAGCAGCAGGCAGCTACACAACCCAGGGACTGAGGTTCTCTACCCTCTGTGGTTCTAGAAACATAATGAGCAGTGACTGAGAACAGGAAACAGCTACAGTGAACTCACACTTCCCTGATCTGCCCACCAAGACAACTCCCTCATGGTTGAGCCCGGCATGCTTTCCTTCAGCCGCCTCTCCAACCCCTCCTCTAGCTGGCTTGCCATGAGTTGTGAGGGAGTGCTTTTCCCAGTTGGTACCAAGGGAGCCTTCCCTGAGCGGGCATTCAGGAAGCCTGTCTGAACCCTGATGCCAGCCTTCAGCATCTCCCTGTTGCTGTTCCTCTAGTCACTGGAGCTGATCCGGAAGCATGGCTTCTCAGTGGCACTGTTTGCTCCTGGCTGGGTGTATGAGTGTCTGGACAAGAGTGACTTCTTTCAGAACCAGGACAAGTGAGTCCCCAAGGAGGGAGGGCATCTCTGCTGCTGTGGGTATCTTACTGTGCAGTAGCTGTCCCCAGTGGTGGCTGGAACATGGGGGAATCGAATGAGAACAAGGTGGCCACCCTGGCAGCTCCCTGGGGGGATTCTGGAGACCAGTTGTGCAGGAAGGAGCAGAGGGAGAGAACCACTTCCTGCAGATGCTATGTGGCCTACCCCAGCCGGGTGGCACGGTCTCCCTGGACGGCCCCTCAGAGATCCCCCCAGCTCCACACAGGGCTGGTCGGATGTGGAGAGGCTCCCCACCCTGACTCCCTCATGTCCCTGTTAGGTTCTGGGGACTCCTGGAGCGCTTCCTGCCCACACACAGTATCTGCTCTTTGCCCTTTGTCACCTCATTCTGCCTGGGCCTGGGCACTCGAAGAGTCTGCTATGGCAAGGTGTGCAGCAAGGAACTGAGGACAGGGTGGGGAAGTGGGCTTCTTTGGGCCTGGTTCCTGGCTGGGATTGGCAGAAGGGGGGGCCGCAGGGTGTGAGTGGGAGTGTCCTGTTCAGCCCTCCTGTCCCTACCCCCATGGTGCATTCCTGTTCTGTTTGCCTCTGCAGAGGAGGCTCCTGCCCTGTCCCATCTCTCGCTTTTCCTCTCTCTGCAGGAGCAGACAGTGGGGCCCTGGTACCACCCTAGTGCCCAGGAGACCCAGCCCCTCTTTGGTGAACATAAGCTGGCTGGAGACAGTCGGGGCTGGGTGAAGGCACACTGCTGCCTGGCCGATGCTTGGCATGGGGGCAGCTCCCTGCTGCTCCGGGGCCTGATCCCACCCGAGGTTGACAGTGTGGCTCTGAGGTGGGTGAGTGATGGCTGAGGTGTGTGGGTCTCTGGCTTCTGTTTTCCATGTCTTGCAAGTAGGTTAGGCAGAAGAGCCAAGTGAGGACAGAGGTAAGGTCTCCTGGCTTCTTTCGCATTGTGGCCAAACATGCATGGCGCCTCTGCAGCCTGCTAAGGTGTTGCACAGCTATGCAGTGCCATGCAGGGAGGGTCTGATGGAGGGTCTGCAATCCCTCTTTCACCTCTCATGAGGTTTCTGTCTTCTAGGTTGTTCTCCCTGCAGGTCCCAGTGCCACCCAAGGTTTTCCTGTCCATGGTGTACAAGTTTGAAGGCTCAACGGAGGTCCAGGTGGCTTTGGAGGTCACAACAGGGGATGCCAGCAGCTGCCATGTGGGTGGCATGTTGCTGCTGAATGGTGAGAGGTGACTTCATGGAGGGCAAGTCAGAAGGCCCTGGATCTGGGTGGAGCTACTGTGGGCGGGCTGCCATGGGCGGGGCTAGATAGGCAGCGCCCACTTGGGTGTAATCAGTGGCTTGTGGTCATTACCTGCACAGAGACCTACTAAGCCCCAGCTCTCTGTGACTCTGCTAAGCAGCATGGCCTTCTGGGCAGGTTGGATACAGGTCTCCTTTTGTCTGGGACACTGAGATGTATCCGTCAGTGGGTTGTGGAGGGCATGTTGGTAGACGCTAGGATGAGTGAGTCTAGCCAGTCCCAGACATACATCTTATTTGTCCTCCAAAGCCTTTCCTTGTGGTGCCCAAGGGTCTGCCCCACCAGGGGTCTTACCCTGACACCTCCCCCACTGTTCGTCCAGGGGTCTTAACCTAGATCCCTCCCCCACTGCCTCACCAGGCAGCCATCCTGTCCCCCTTGGGTTTTTCTGTGGGATTCTTCTTTCTGAAGCCCATGTCTTCCAGCTGAAACTGGCTCAAGGCACAGCCCCAGACCCCTCCGAGTACCCCCTACCAAGCTGGCCAGATGGGTCAGGAGTTGTGGCCAGCAGCTCAGTGGTGGCTGGATCCAACGGTGAGTCCTTCTCCAGTCAAGTCTCATAAGGCGATGGGCATGCAGTGGGAACTTAAGGGGTCCAAGTCCCCCCTGAGAAACCCCAGGACAAGAGGGAAGGGAGGCCTGGGGCCAGGGTTTGGCCACAGTGAGAGACCAGGACAGCCCTCGCAGGAACCTGCTGTGGTTCTGGGCCCCATGACCTAGAGTACCCCCGGGGAAGCTTCCCCTTCATTCTGTGGTGTGGGGCCTCGCCCGGCTGGCTTGTGAGCAGCCTGTGTGCTCTTTCAGCTGCTATGAGGTAAACCTGCGAGGGTGCCTGCTTCAGGACCTCTTGGTGAGCTTTTCGCGGCCACCAGGCAGCCGTGAGGAGGAGAGCTTCACTTGTCGTCTCGGAGAGATCCAGGTGTGCACGGGGAGGTCAGGCCTGCAGGGGGTGGTCTGGGCCCACCGGGAGGACGGCCTGGTAGATGGAGCCTGAGGAGTGGATACAAGGGGATGCCGCCCCTCTGTGTCCTCCCTGGGCGTCCAGGCAGGCGAACCTTCTCTCTCACGCCAGGTGGTTGATGCCAACAGCCTTCTGGCCCCTCTGCCCCGGGTGCAGAATGTCACCATTTCGCAGCTACGCTGGCTTCCCCTGATTTCTGGGTCTGAGGGCCTCCCTACCCGACTCCTCCTCAGCTGCACTCTACATTGGTCCTACCTCCTGCCCCAAGCCCGATGCTTCCGGATTCACCACTGTGAGCAGACAGGAAGCAGTTCTGCGATAGAGGAGGCCCCCGGGACCGAGAAGCCCGTGTTCCTGGGCCTGGCCTTTGCCAACCAGTACCGTGTGGTGGACTTGGCAGTGGAGGCTGCCAAGTTTGGGCAGGATGGTCGTGTGGAATTCCTGGTGGAGCCTGTCCCCAGGGAGGGCTTCCTGGTGCCTCAGGCTGAGTGGGGCAGGGCGGTCCTGCTCTACTCGGCCTCTCAGTGAGCCCACCCCAGAGCACAGTACCTCCTCGCCTCAAGACTCAAGGTTCCTTCCTGGCCAGCCTCTCGCGGCTGAGTGGACTCCTGAGGATACCCAGGTCCCCAGATTCTGGCTGTACTCTCCGAAAGCTCTGTGAATCGCCTAGCACCCACACCCTTCTGTAACGCTTTCCACGGGATGCCGTTCTCAAGGGAGAAGGAGAAGGTTTGAGGTTTTTCCAGAAAAAAATACCATAAAGGCTATTTTTCATAGGTTAAAAAGATACTTCTGTGAGAATGGCAGCCATGTATCCTCACAGCTTTGAGTGGTGGCAGTGAAGCTCCCTCAGCGTGGGAGCAGGAGTGCTCACAGGCTCGCTGGGGTGGTAACCCAGGACCAGGTCCATTGGGTGGTCACGGGTACCCCCCAACTCCCCATACAAGTTTGGCTTTGGCGGCTGACTGTCCCCACAAACACTAAGCCCTCGCCTTTGCAGTACCTCCCATTGGCTGTCTGCTCTGCGAAGGTGCGGAAGGATCAGGGCGCCAGCCAGGCCTTTTCCCCTCCCAGTGTGGCGGCATCCTTAGCTGTACTGAAGCCCTGTCGATGCAGGGCTGTGTGAAAACTTGCTGCTGGGGCTCTGGGTCTCGGGTACTGCCACCAGCATTTTCCCTGCTTCAGGCCACAGCAGGGCCCTCACACCCTTTCCACATTCACGCATTCACCTGTCACCCTGTGGACCTCATGTAGTATGGAGAGAGGCCGCCAGAGGGCAGAGCAGCCTGCTGCCATCTTCTGAGGCATAGGGCTGAGGTGGGTGGGTTTTCCTCAGAGTCCCGAGGGTGAGGACCCAAAACCTGAGATTGGGAACATTTTGCCCTGTTTCTACCAGCTCTCACATAGACCACGTGTGGGGCAGGGCCTCTGGGAAAGTCCGGCCTACTGTACCCTGGCTCTGCCTGCCTTGCAGGCTGGGAAGGAAGCACCTGAGCTTTCTCTGGTTTGTCAGGCAGAATCTGCCCTGGAGGCTTGGCTCTCCCACTCCCAGCCAGGGGACCATAAGCCTGGAGTGGAGAGCAGTGCGGAGCAGGCGGAGCTGGTCCTGATTGCCCTGCTTCCCCCTGTGGGGGGAAGCTTTTTAAAGTGCTGGTTCCTTCAAATATTTTATGCAGAGAAGGAGGGAAAATTTATAGTGGCAATTATTTTCTCACAGTCTGGTGAACAAGCAATTAGAAGTAAGGGGGCTTAGCAGAGCATGGCATGAGGCAGAGCACCACAACCTCACTTCCCAGGAGCATGGTCCCCAGTCCTGGCAACATGGCTCCTGTGCAGGAAAATTAATCTGCCGGCATTTCAGCCGAGGCCCCTCTGGTGGATATAATCACTCAGAAATAAATTATCCAGTGTGAAAAACGAGAAGGCGAGTGTTGGTGCGATCCAGCTCCTGGCCCCAGCACAGCTCTGAAGCCTTTGGTTTGGATCCTGTGTCTCCCCTGAGAAGCTCTCTCCTGCTGCTTTCATGCTTCTTTCAGAAGCCAGGCTCAAGAGGCTGGAGTGGCACGTTCACCTTGAAGTGTTTGCAGGGCCGCAGCTCAGTGAGTGCACACCACAATGGCCTCCCGCCTTGCACACCGCTGCTGTGGAACGCCCACCATGCACCTGCTTCTTTAGGTGTGATTTGCTGTAGAAGTCATGGGGTTGCCCTGCTCCACTAGCTGGTCTTAGGGCAGGGTGCAGCGGGCAACCTGAAGAAAGGGGTTTCGGATTTGCCCAGAGAGTTGACAGCCTGCCATTACCAGCTGGCAGGAAAAAAACCAGCTTCTCCCAGGGCCAGGCCCCAAACCCCATTCCTGGAGTGCCCGCTCCTCCTCTGTGCCAGGAGCTGCCAAATCAGAAAGAGCCTTCCTGGTTTGAAGAAAGAAATCTTTATTAATCTTAATAATAATACTGTTAATTTGAATGGTCACACCGTGGAAGCATACAGAATGGTAAGAAAGGTAGGCCTGGGGCTCGGCTGCAGTCCTGGGAGGGGCTGGGAGGAGGGGTCCGAGCTGCTGCGGGAAAAGGGTCCGAAACAGCAGAAGGCAAGGGGCCCTGTACGGAGGACAGAGCCAGAGGCAGGCGCGGGGCTATGTACAACAGGAATAGAAAAGGAGGGCTCCGTCTCCATAGCGTCTGTGGCTGATGCTGGATAGAAAGTGAGGTGATTTATTTTGAGGTGTCATGAGACAGTGGTGCCGCGTCGGGAGCCATGGTTTCTGTTAATTTTTTTGCTGATAGTCCTACTCCACCTATCCCTGCCTTGCCCAGGGGCTTCTTGTTACCCCTTCCCTGTACCATCCACTGGGCCTGCTGCCTTCCCGTGACTCCCACTACTTCATCTGCCCAGGGAGCAAAGGGGCTGCAGCCCGGCTGGCCTTCCCTGTGGCGGGGCCAGCCCAGACCTTTCCCATGGGTCCTGCCCTGCTGTGGCCTTCCAGACCCATAGCACCTTGACTCCCAACCTCGACGTGCAGCCCAGGACAGGCCCGTCTGCCACCCCCTGCTCCCCAGCAGAACTGAGCCTACAGAAGGGAGAGAAAGGAGGGCTGGGTCCTAGCAGACAGCTGAGGTTGGCCTTCAAGCCCACAGTGCCTTCTTCAGGAAGGCTGCCACTACAAACAACCCTGTGCTCTGGGGCCCCCCTGTCCATGTTCACGGCATGAGGGCTGGGTCCCTGCTAGCTGGGCTCTCTTTGTTCTCTGTAGCTGGAAGCCCTCTCACACAAGGGGAGCGGAGCATGGGGTGCCCCAGAGTTCTGGAGCCCTGTCAGCCCTTTGCGTTGGGAGTTGGAACCTAGGGCGGCTGGCTGGACAGCTGATGGCACTGGCAGCGCATTCAAGGAGGCCAGGCTGGAGCCCCGCGATGAGTGATGAGCTGCCGGCCCTAACTGCCCCAGCCCGTTCAGGGCGCGGCTGGCCGCTCCTCCTCAGGGGCTGCCCCACTCTAGGCACCCCCCGCCTGGGGAGCAGGGTGGGGAAAGGAAGACTGGATAGATACCAGAGCCCCCCGCCCCCGCCCCACACCCACTGGCCACATTTCCCCCCCAGGTCTTCCCCAGTGCCTGGCCGCAGCCCCACTGCACAGCCAGCCAGGCAAGGCCACTCTCCGGCGCCCCCTGGGGGACGAGCTCCCTCGGTGCGGGTGTACGCCAGACGTGGACTTGGTTGGATGCCTCTTGGTTTGGTTGGAATTTTTTGTTGTTGCTGTTGCTTGGATCTTAACATCTTTTTTTGTTTTGTTTTTTGTTTTGTGATTTTTTTTGTTTTTTTGTTTTTTTTTTTGTTTGTTTTTGTTTTTGCCCTTCATGGTCCGAGAAGGAGACGGTGGAAGGTTTCACTACAACAGAAACAGAAAGGAGAACTTGCAGTTTCTGAGGGCTGCCTGCAGCATGTGGGGCCTGTGGTCTTGGGTCATACCTAAAGCCACTGGCACCCCCTAAGTGTGGCCCCCCACAGCTTCCGGGACCCCATCACAAGCTAGAGCACCCCATCTTGTAGAGGTGGGCGGGGCTGTGAGAGGATGATGACTGGACCAGGCACAGGGCAGGGTGTGCTGGAGGACAGCTGCATCCGTGGGAGGAGAGGGAGCCGGGCTCTAGCCACAACAGGCCTTGGTGGGACTTAGTTTGGTCACCTTGTGGCCCTGAACCCCCACAGTGGAGGGGTCAGCAGCTGCTGGTTTTCCAGGGCCTTCAGCCTAACCTCAGGTACCAACTCGCATCCTTTCTTGGGATTCTAGGCTGGGGAGGTAGGTGGGTCCCCACAGGCCACAGAGGCCTACACATGCTAAGTGAGGCTGAAGGCTGTGGGAAGATCAGAGGGAGGATGCCTACTGTGTCCCTGGCCTGACTACAGGAACCTTGCCCTTTCCTGGAATGGACCTTGACAAAAGGTAAGTTAGGTCTTGGGGATGGGTGGAGTGGCTCTGTAGGTCAAGGACAAAAACCAGAGCTATCTGCTTCAGGTGCCTGAGGAGGGGGCCAGGCTCGGGGAGCGTGTGCAGGTCCACCGGCGATGCAGGGTGACCTTAGGGCGGGACATTTCCATCTCCATAAGGAATCTCGAGCCAGGGTGACGAAGGCAGTATGCACACAGAATGTGCTTGTGACTTCGTGGACAGGAAGGTCGTTAGCAAACTTTAATAGAAACATTAATTTCAGCTGAGTGGTAGTCCTCAGAGGGGGCGCAGCTGCTCCGGGCATTCTTGTGAAGGGTGGATGGAAGCCGCCTCCCACTGGGTAAACCCACTGACTAGGCCTGGAGTCCTGGAGCTCCTCTACCAGTCACCAAACCCTGGGGCAGCCAGGCTGCAGGGCCTGGCTGAGGTGGCTCTGGGGAAGGCTAGCGCCTGGCACTTCTGGAGCTCTGAGGGCCCATGCCACCCTGAGACACAGGCAGCTTGCCGTCCCCCAGGCCCGGCTCCCTCTCTGTGCATACTGTACCTGAAGTGGCGTGTACAACAACGTCAAGTTAGGAAACCAAGGTTCAGACATACAGGAAAACCAGGGTCAGAGACACACACACCGGCCTGGGTGGGGTGGGGAGAGCAGCTGGTAAAATCTACGGACTTTAGAGTCGCAGAGGGTCAGCGGCGCTTGTCGCTGACTGGGAGGGGCGCACTGTCCTCCTGGTGGCTGTGTCTGGTGTTGGGACTGTAGGGTTGGGTTTGGAATAAGCAGGAGTGTGAATGCGGTGAGGGGGTCTCTTGCTAGTAGGGGGTGAAGCGGCTGTACCCTCCTCGGCAGAGGCTAGCCTGCAACATCAAAGATGAAAAACAGCCAATCAGTACCGTCTTTTGGCATTGGGAGGAAAAATCAAAAAAGAAAAAAAAAAATAAGGAAAAAAGAAAGAAACAGCTAAATCCCGCTTTCTTTCCCCCAACGGCATTTCTTTGGGAAGAATGGGCTTCAGGTTGTCATGGCAACCAGGGCCTAGCATTTCTGTGGTGGTGGTCTTGGTGCTGGGAGGGGTGCTCCTCCTCCCTTGCAGACTTTTATACTGTCTCGGGCCACTTCTTGGGGCTTCAGCTGGGCCCATCGTGCCCTCTCGTGGAGGAACATCTAAGCATGAGCTTTCTCCTCATCCCTGCTGGGCAAGTCCCTGAGGGACACCCCTGACTGGGCTCTGAGGTCCTGGCTCAAGCACGGAGCCACTGAAGCCTGAGGGCACACCCGTTGGTCTCAGCTTCTGCCTGCATCTGAGTCTCCCATGGCTTCGGAGGCCTGGCTCAGGGTCCTGCCAGAGAGGTCTGCATGGAGTCCCGCACACCCACCCTTGGGCTTCGCAGGAATGGGAAGAAAGCAGCAAATACAGGAGGAAAAAGCTGCGGAATGCCTCCAGAGCCTCAAAAATAAACTGTAAGCAAGAGGGACCCGCGAGCCAAATACAGCACAGCTCCTAGCTAGCAGCTGACTGCAGGCTGAGTTGTGCAGGCAGTCTGGGCCTTCAAGGTTGCAGTCCCCTGTCTCTTCCTGTATGGCTGTGGCGCCCTCCTAGCTCCAGCCCCCTTAGGCCTGCTCAAGATGTCTGGGGCTTGTCAAAAATCAACAAAGACAAAAATTCCAAGGAAATAACCAAAACCAAGGGAGATAGAAAAAAAAAAATCCGTGTTGCCTCTCAGCCTTCTTGCTCTTTAGTCCCCAAATGTTTTCATCTTTGATGCTGGATGCCAAGCTAAAAACATACATCAACATCCCTGGGGTGAACATGGTAGGGAAAGTAGGTGTGCACTGGACACAGACTGGGCACAGAGGGGCTGGGCTGTGTTGACATCTGGGTACACACACACACATACACACATACACATGCACACAGACACACCAGCCCGCCCCTCTCCCGCCCTGCTGGGGACCGGATACTTGGAGTCACAGGGTAGTCTGGGAAGAGAGCTTGGTGAGAAAGAGTTGCTGGACTTTAGTCCCTCTGCCAAGTGAGACTAGGAGGGCCAGGCAGGGGCTGGGGGTAGGGTGATGTTCAACCTCAGATACTTCACAGGGAGGAACAGGCTATGTCTGCCCAAGCAGCCAGGCCTCTGTGGCCACTGCGGGGAGGAAAGGCCATGGCCGATTTTCTTTGCTGTCCTGATACTGCTGGAGGAGCCTTTGACAGGACTGTGGTCACTGGGCTCTAGAACGCTAGGATGCTCTTCCCAGAGGTCCAGTCATCAAGAAGGGTTGGACCTGCCTCTGGGGCAAGTCTCTCCCTCTCAATAATGTGTGCTTCCCCCCCCCCCCTGCCAACTAGGCACTTGCTGGAGGTCTCAGTGGAGGTCCCTCCCCACAGCCTTGCCCCACCCATCCACTACAGGATGGGTCTCCTCGTCCCTCGTTCTTACCATGGTTCCGATGCTGTAGGTTGCTGTGGGGCCGATGGTGTGAT